TCCTAATTATAAGTACTATGTGTCTCTAAGTTGGAACTGCAGTTGACATATACGCATATCAATCTGATGAGGAGATGAAACAATTTTGAGTCCTCCAACATCATCAACAATACCGACAACATCTGAAAGAAAAGAATAAGACATTTTTATAAGAACAAAATAAAAAATACGCATTACTAAGATCACAAAATGAGAATGGTAGTACATACCAACATGGTACATCCTATTATCCTAAGATCCAGGCATTAGATGTTCAAAACTGGTGAATCTCATGAAATAATCATTCAATCGTAGATAAGTTTCCCTCACCTCTGTGGTACTCACAAGAATTATTTATTTAGTAAGCCTAGTTAAGCGAGTCGGAGAAGTCACATTTGTAACTATGAAATGTTTGATAATCTTCCACTGGGGCCCTCATATAACTCGTTATTGAAGCGATCCACGAAAGACACCATTTCAACAGATGCTTGAATTTTAATTCCCTATCATAAACAGCAATGGTTTAGGACATTTATCCAAAACGTTAACGATGTTGTAAAAATCACAGAAATGATATATGATAGAGATACTTACATGTTGATCAACAAAAATGAAGTGTAGTAATCATTATTAAGTCTTTCCATTTCCTGTACACCTTCACACAAATCCGTCAATCCATCTTCTATTCTCCAAGATTATCAATGGTACTAATCTTAGCCATTTTTTCTGTCTCTACAAAACTATAAAATTGCAAGTAAAACTTCTTTTATAGTTGGATTGTTCTAGGGCTTCTTTATATTTTATTAGTTATGCTATCGAAATGTCAGGTATTGGGAAAAGAAAAAAGGAGAAAACTTTTACTTTTGTCAGATTATGAAATATCAAATCAAAGCATAATCCTCACAGGCTATCGAACAAATAAATTGAAACAGTTGACCGAAAATTGTGTTTAAACTTGAGATTAAGAGAAGAAACCAAGAACATTAATATTCATACAAAAGAAACTGTTAATCATACCGTTAGTCACACTTAGCCTACGTGGAATAGATATTTCACAAATTCTTAGGTTGATGAGACAGAAACATAATAGGGTTATCGTAAAAGTTTCATGCTCTGTTACGTATACACTCTAAACCTGGATACAATCATTGAATTCAACTCGGCATTGTTTCTTAGTTGCTGAAGCTTAAACATAAGACTTCTTCTGTAGCCATTTTTCGTTTAACAGGTTCTCGATTAACCCTCTTCGTTTCTTCAGATTCAGCATATTGCTACAGGACAGAAGAGTGAATCCAGGTAAAAGTGTTCATCTTCTTCGATCCATACAATCTATGTTGATGACCAACACAAAGGCTTGATTGAAAGAAAAATACTCTTCTACATTACCATGATTAGATCTTTGTATTTGGTCATTCTCGTAGAATTAAATCTGGACTGAAATTATTTGATTAACAGGTTTATCGATTACCCAATTCTTTAATTCGACATCGGGACATTGGTACAGGACGAAACAGCGTAATATACCACATTATTCATGAATTATATTTATTTATTAGTAGATAGATTACTCATATGGTTTAGTATAGATGATTGAGTCGATGGTTGGTAAAATATTAATGCCATATCGATATAAATTTGGCTTAGTATAAACAGAATAGTTCGAATTATGTCTAACAATCTATGATTAAGCTATCCTTAATAAAAATCTAAGGAAAAAGTTAAAATGCAATGGTATTATATGTAATTTAACATATGAATTATGTTTAAACATTTATGTATTCCTGAATTAATAGTATAGATTTTTTTTGAAAAAGATAATAACTGATTAATTTGTATTCAAATTAATTACAAGTCTTTTTTTTTGACCAAAAACTTTTTTGACTATTTTTTCTATTTGAGTGTGTTCTGAATTTACAAGCTGTTGTATGTCCAACATGAGATGTAAGAGTCAAAATTCATCAAAAAGGAAAAAAATATTAACTCAAAAGATGAAAACTGTCTGCAGGTTTGGTTAGTTCAGATATTTCGATTGGATAGTTTGATTTTTAAAAATTCTAACTACTATTTGAGAAGCAGGTTTACTAAAAAAATCATATGTGTCAATAATTTCAGAAACGTTAGTGCAAAACAAAGTCAACTCATAAATGTGACATGACAAAATTACTAAAATAAAAAAAATGTTTTGATTGGTTAAGTAAAAACTAAATAAATTTTATTTTTAAATAAGAAAAAATAGTTTATATCATATGTGAATGAATTCTCATTATATTGCATAAATTCAAAATTATAAATGAAACAAAAAAGTAAACAGATAGAAAAATTAATTATAAGTATCCTTTTAGCTAACTTTTTTATTATAATACTATATATATAAATAAAAAATAGAACTAAAAGTAAAAATGTATTCTTTACTACTCTGGTTTTATGTAAAAATCTCAAGCTATATTTTTGGATTAAAACATCTACAACCCACCTTTATTTTAAATCTTCTAATTCAAAGGAGAAAGAAAGGTTAGTATAAAATAGTATAGATAATATTCAAAACATATTATAAGAATGTAATTATTATTTAATATAATTTAATTGTAAGGAGAAAAAGAAAATATAGTATAGATAATATATAAAACATATTATAAGAATTTAATTATTATTTAATATAACTTTACATTTGTAATTATATGTTACTGTAAACGTTAGGAAAAATAAAAAGTTTTCAAAAGATACAAAACGATAAATTAAATACATATTTTTTAATTTTATATCATCAATATGGTTAAGTATACATTTGATTTATATAATTGGTACAGTTTTTCAATAAATTTTTTTTTTCTTTTTTCCAACTTATTATATTAAGAAGTATATTGGTTATGTTGATTGTGATTAATTACAGATAATGGAAGAGTGTGATAAAAAACATAAGGAGTTAATGGAGAATCATTAGATATCACAACAGCATGAGCTTCACTATTATGTTCTCTGGGCACCCAACGAAATTTGATATCTTCAAAACGTGTAGACCAATGCCAAATCTCTCTCAGCCAATTGAGTAAACCAAAGTTGAGACTCTGTTTTGATACTAACTTCTGTAATTGTTGTGAATCTCCTTCAAAAATGACTAGTGTATAACCTTTAGCCCAACATAGCTGCATCGAAATTAGCAATGCTTGTGCTTCACTTTCCAAGGGATTCGAGAGACTACTTGTAATGGTTTGACCAGCTCCCCTATATATACCCTCGTGATCCCTTAATATCCATCCTGCTGTTGTCGGTAAATTATCTTTGTAGGAGGCATCATAGTTGCACTTAATCCATCCAAGAGGGGGTCGTGTCCATCTCTGTTGTCTTCTGTTTGTTGTGTTTGTTGGACCCGGGATTGTTTGAGAGATTCTAGCTATATGATTCTGGCTATCAAGCTATTCTTGAGTATCATATTTTGCTAGTTGTAGTGCTTTTGACCATGGTATATGATGTCTTTGAAATAAGAGCACATTCCGACACTTCCAAAGCCTCCATAGAATCCAATAACTTAGGTAATGAAGGTGTGAGGGTAGCGTGTTTTTATAATCATTTATTACTCGGAGCATGTCTTCAATGGCTGTTGTAGAGTTGAGAAGGTCTATATAGGGAATTCCACTAGCTCTCCAGAGACATTGCGCATAAGGACAATTGAAGAATAAGTGTTGAGTAGATTCTTCTTTTGAAGAACATCGCGGACATTCCTTTAGATTGGCGATATGTCTTGTTCGCAAAGCTTCCCCTGTTGCCAGAGCGTTTGATAACATTCTCCAGAGGAAATGTTTTATTTTTAGGGGGATCTGCAGTTTCCAAATATCTAATTTTGATTGGATATCGCCTGGAGGGGGCCTTGGCACATTTGTATCCGGCATATGCGTTGATAGCCAGTATGCTGATTTGACGGAATAGACTCCTGATTTGTTGTAGTGCCATCCCAAAAAATCTGTTGTAGCGGTTCTACTCAATTTTATTTTTAGGATTTTATTTACATCTTCTTCAGCAACAAGTTTTCGAATAACATCTATGTTCCAATCAGTACCTGTTGAGTTGAACCAGTGAAGAACATTGTTTTGCTTTGGTTTTGGTGGTCTCGGCGGGTGAATGGGTAGCCAAGGGTCTATCCAAGCACTGATAATGGATCCGTCTCCTATTTCAAATCTCAGTCCACTTTTGACAAATTCTCTCCCTTGTAATAGCGATTTCCAGACAAATGAGCTTCTGGTTCTATCTTTGGCAGTTAATATATTTCCTTTCATCACTTTAGACATTAGACATGTAGGTGTATGCATGATTCTCCAGATTTACTTCCCAAGTAATGCTAAGTTGAAATGCTCCAGGTTCTTGAATCCTAGACCTCCTTCTTTTTTCGGTAAGCTCAGTCTTCTTTTCTATCATTTTCCTGAACTCCACCAGAACTTAGCTAGTATACTATTTTTCTCATCACAGATAGTCTTGTATTTTAAAGATTTGCATGCTATAAACTAATATGTATTAAAAAGGACCGAACTGAACCAATAACTATATCAGTTTCAAATGTTACCAATCGGTGTAATTTAAGTAATGGAACCAAAATCAAAAACCAAAAATCTCGGTTCCATTTGGTTCACAAACTACGGTTCGGGTAAAAGTGGCCGGCGTAGTAAAAAACTGATGATGTGCTCCCAAAAGCCACCGCCCGGAGGAAAGGATACAGGTTGCCACAAGTAAAAGACGAATATGCCCATTGGTGCCAAAAGACTTTCAAAAATGGGCTTTATTTCCAAACTAATGAGCCTGCTTAAGCCCAATAAATCGTAAAACCCTAGCAAGGTTTAGTCGATGCGTTCTCTCTCTCTCTCGAACTCTGCTTCTTCGACTTTCTTCGTGGACCATTGATAATCCAAATTGTTCCCGTTGCCTAGATTGGTCGGGATCTAATTGCTGCGTCGATTTGATCTTTGCGAGCTAGAAAAACCTAATTTCTGGGTCCTTGTGCAGTCGCACAGAACCTGCCCTGCAGCACAACAATGGGTGAAAAAGGAGGATATCAGAAGAAAAGCACGAAAACTCGCCAAGATATCGTCGAAGACGGATTCGATGACGAGATTGACGCCTGTAAATTTCTTCTCACCTTAAAAAATCTGTCCTTTTTTCAGTTTCCTGAAAGTTTTAATCGGTTATTGGTGATAAGGAGTTTGAGGAGTAGTGAAAATCATGCGAATTTTAGAGACGTGTGTGATTGATTTGCTCGTCATTAGAGATTTTTAGCTGGTGTTTTTGAGTTTAGTAAGTTTATATATTCCTCTGATGATCGGTTTGTGTCAACAGTTCATAAACAGTCGGATATTGTTCCTTTGGATGTTAACGATGACACTGATGAATCAGACGATGATGGTGATCAACCAGTTTTTGATTTAAAGGTTTGTTAATTGGCTTGTGTTTTCACACACTTGTGTTCGATTCTTTGAAATGCTTCCCTTTCAATTTCGGTTGCTTTGGCTTATAGGGTGTGGATGATGATAATGATGAAGATGAGGATGAGGAGGATGAAGATACAGAAGAAAAAGAGGAATCCGAAAATGGACTTACTGCGAAAAGTAAAGATGGCTTCTTATGTTAAAACATAACCGCCTAAAATTACTCCTTTTGAGTATCCTGTAATCTTATTTGTCATGGTTGCCTTAATAATCGTGCAGTGATTAGGCAAAATAAATATCTGCGAGCTAAGTTTGGTGATGTTGATGATGAAATGGCTGAGGACGATAAGGATAAAGATGAGAAAAAAGAAACGGGCAAATGGCGCCAACGCCATGGTGGTGATAATGTTGATTATGAGGTAAGGAGTGTTGTGCTGATACTGTTGATTCCGTTGTGCACATATTTTATGTTTCCTTTGATAACTTTGGTTTGATGTGATTTTAAAGATCCAAAGTGATGATGAAGACCTTATAGCTGAAGAAAAGGAGGCGAAAAGACTACGGGCAGAACAACTAGAATCCATTACACCTGCTGATGCTGGGTTAGAAGATGATAGTGAAGAAGAGAGTGACAGAGAACTAACCATGGAGGTGTGTAATGGGTTTTAACGAAGAACCGTCGTGTCGCTGGACTCTCTATCCTGTTGCTTAGAGAATTTGACGCATCGTTCTGGTTTATTATTTGGCAGGAAATTTCTGTAAAAGGCAAGAAGGCTACAAAGTCGATCACAGATAAGAAAGAGAAGGATGACAAGGATACACATGTTGAAGAGATCAAGAAAGACTTAAACTCGTTGTCAAAAGAAGAGCAAATGGATGTAGTGTATAGGTAAATTTGATTCTCTTCTGCTTCAAAAACTTTCATTAGTTTGATATCATTTGTACACAAATATTCACGTGATTATGTCTTTCGTGTAGTTCTGCTCCGGAAATAGTTGGTCTTTTATCTGAGTTGAATGATGCAGTCGACGAGCTTGAGAATAAAATAAATCCTGTTATGAGTAAGGTAAAAACCTCTTAACTGTTCATGGATAGAAGCCTCTTTTACTGTGGCTCCTCCTGAAACCTTATGCAATTGTTATGTCCTTGCAGTTAAAGGAAGTAGGAGTTCCGTTGAATGGTGCAACAAAGTACTTGGAGGTTAAGCAGCTTCTGCTACTAACCTATTGCCAATCTATAACATTTTATTTTCTACTCAAGTCTGAAGGACAGCTCATCCGTGATCATCCGGTCCTTGCCCGTCTTGTAGACATCAAAGCTTTACTGGATAAGGTTCTGTAACACCTTTTAAGTTTTTGCTATTTACATGCTGTATGTCTTTAGAAGCTTTGTTTGTTAGTTTATCATTAGCAGTTTAATTAATATATAGTGTTTTTAATTAGATCAAAGAACTTGATGGAGAGCTTCCCCCTGGATTTGAGGAGTCTCTGTCGAGAAGTATTGCTAATGAAACAGAGCAAAAGGTGGTCAAAGAAGATGCACCTGATTCTTCTTCGGTAGTTAAAATTACACAAGACACAGTCGGGGTAAGAAATTGGATTTTACTCGCTCACTTGAGTTAAATCTCTTATGATTTGTTTGACAGTTTCTTTGTATCCACTTGCTGATCTCTGGTTTATACAGCCGATGAAAATTGACAAGAAGATAAAAGGAGAGAAACGCAAGCACCAGGTGAAAAACAGATCTAAGCACATTTCCTTTGTTTTGTGATCACCCTTACTGTTTTTGTTTAACTTGAACAAATCTGCTTTCTTTGTAGCAGAATGATAAAGTTGATATGCAGAGTGAGGAAATGTTGAAACTTCGAGCTGCTCTAGAGGGAAAGTTAAGAAACAATGGAGTTTTTGGTTCTACTGTTTCCAAGTCTGATAAAGCTCAAAAACGTCAGAAATTAGCTAATAGGTAATATCTTCTTCTTCTTTTTTCCTTTACTATGATAATCTCTGTTGTCCCTTCTGAAGATTGTGATTATGTATTAATTATTGTAACCAGGAAGCTAGAGACATTCGATGATTATGTGGATGATGCAGACAACAGCACACCTGATGTACCAGCTGATAAGCTCACCAAGCTTGTGTCCACCAAACGGAAGCCAAAGGTAAAACATATAGAAGATGTCTTTTGTCACTATTCTTTAGACATGTGTCTTCGTCATTCTTTTGTTAAATCTTTTGTTTTTGAAGACTATATCTGGAGACGATGATTTACCGCAAAGGGATGATATTGGAGAACGGCGTAGAAAGTTTGAGCTCAAAGTTTTGGCTGGAGCTGGTGTGAACTCAGAGGAAGATGGCAAGAATGAAAGTGGGACATTTGCATCAGAAGATGACGACAATGATGATGATGATATTGACATGGTTGATAATGATGGCGAATCAGAAGAAGGCTCAGAAGATGAATTCTACAAGCAAGTGAAACAGACACATCAAGCTAAACGGTCTGCCAAAGCAGAGATCTATTCAAGGTAATGAATAGTACACACATGTTTTTTGCAAATAGTCACATTGTTCATTGTGTTCGTTTGTATTGGTTCAGGAAACCATCATTTCCTCCCTCGTCATTACCAGAAAGCGTGGATGGGAAACGATTTATTTCAAACGAGGTTAGAATTTTTTCCGAACACACAACGCCATCTTCTATTTCTCTAAGCCTATGCATCCATCTCTAAACTTTCCTTTTCTTCCTTTTTTAAAAAAATTTCCACTTAAACGCAGATGAATAAGAACAGAGGATTGACTCGACATCGCAACAAGGACCTAAAGAACCCGAGAAAGAAGTACCGGGTAAGCAATCTTGGATTTTGCCAGTTTCTGCAACTTTCGTTTCCTTTTTTACCTTTTGTTTTTTGGCCTTAACTTGGATGTTTTGGGATCTTGATTTTGGTTTGCAGGTAAAGCACCAGCAGAAAGTCATCAGACGCAAAGGACAAGTCAGAGACATCAGGAAACCTTCGGGTCCATCATATGGAGGAGAAGGTTCCGGTATCAATCCCAACATAAGCCGGAGCATCCGATTCAAGAACTAGACCGACCTTTCTTGGAATACTTCTACTTTGCATTTCACTCTTCTTCAATACTTTAGCATATCATTTGCTTTCCGATTTTTGATGTCTTTTGTTTAAATCTGTTTTACACCTGTATCTGGAAGACCAGCAAACTTGTTTACCCTTGAAATGTTTACCCAATTTTATCCAGAGTACTATTACTACTAAATTAAGAATATAATAATCGGTACTAAATTAAGAATATAGTAAGACCTTTAGAAGTCTGAATATGAAATTTATTAACCACATATTTGAACTATTATATTATCATAATATTTTCAATATTTACATCAGAATACTGTTAATACCTTTCGAATATGGTTTTTGCATGTAACATTTAACAATTTTTTTTATTATTCAAATAAATGATAATTCCTTTTTTTTTTTTTTTGGTAATCTGTGATGAGACAATTGTCTCCTTCCCTTTATTCTGTAAATATTAAAGAGGTTGCAAACGAATAAGTCGAATCCGTACAACCCCATGAGTATCAGAAATGATCGACACAACATCATTTGGAACTGAATAAAAAAAAAATGAAAATCTAAAGGTAAAAAAAATGCATAGTTAGCTAAGCCATCTGCGTGACAGTTATTTTCTCTATACACATGAAAAATCTAAATTATTCAGTTTTTTGAAATGAAGTCACAACACAACCATACTAAAAAAGACAGGAGATAGAGAATTATTAATTCCTATCGTTAGAAAACCCATTACTATCTTGGAGTCAACTTATATATGTAATCGAGAGATCTTATGCTCCCACCCTATATAGAGTCCGTAGTACATTCCCCATAGTTCCACCAGTGGAGTCGAGCATATACTAATGTTAATGGCGAATGCATCCCGTAGAACTCCTCCTGCTGTCGCCAGATCAAGGTTCCCGTGCGAATCCCCATCAATATTCAGCTTCACCCAGTCTCCCGTTGGAGGAGACCATGCAAGCTGTCTCTCCATTCTCTCTCTCACGTTCCCACTACCTCTCACAGACGAGTAAACAAGTACGACCTCCTTTGCTAACTCCTTCGCGAAATGCACCCTATCTCGGCACTTTTCTGTTTCTCTGAAAACATTCTCACAACTTCATTTCCAACTCCACCATATAGCAACTGCAAATAAAGTGGACCAGATCATACCTTGTATCTCGGCATTCCTCGACAAGTTTGCATAAAGCCACTCAAGCAGGGACTATGTAAAGAAACGTTGTTGCGTCCCCCGAGGAACTAAGCGATTCCAGATCCCCGCCACTGCCAGACAGTCACTCAACATATGTATAATTGATTTATCGCCTCCCTTGCAAACCTGGCAGATACTAGTATCACTCAAATGGCGTCTCTGCCTCTCTAGGTTAGTCATAATCACTTGATTAACCACCAACCATAAGAACACATTTACTCGCTCAGGTGCTACCACTCGCCATACCTGATGAAACAGTTTATGCATGTTTTGTCGTGGGGGCTGATCTCGACATAGGAAGTCATATGCAGATTTAACTGTAAACTTTCTCATCCTGGCTTTCACCACATGAAACTCTGTCCTTCGCTCCCGTTATATCGTCCAAGACCACTGCAGCTAGTCGGAGTCTAATATTAATTGATAGGTATGGTTCGAGTTGTGAGAAAATCCAGCCAGAACCATTCCTCCAAAGCTCACGGACTCCAATCTCCAGAAATTCTGTTGGTATTTCACTCACTGCTAACTCCGATAGAGGTATATTCAATAGCCATTTGTCTCTCCAGAATCGTATTTGCCAACCATCTTCAAGCACCCAGATCATCCCTGGTAGCACCACCTCTCTTATCTTCATCCCCACACTTCTCCATGTTGACGACCAAGTACTTTGGCTAGAGTCCAAGAAACATCATGTACATCCTTGCCTCGATACTTAGTACGCAGGACAGTTGCCCAGAGACTCCCTTGATCATGTAAAAGGCGCCATCCCAACTTTGTCAGGAGGGCTTTGTTCATGTCTTCTGAAAGTCGAATACCTAACCCTCCCTCTTCCCTTGGACCTGCAAACTTTTTTCCATGACAGAAGATGTTGTTTCTTCTGCTCTACTGTGCTTCCCCATAAGAAAGACCTTGAAATTTTGTCGAGCTTCTTTAGAGTTTATTTTGGTAGGTGTATTACACTCATAGTGTGGACTGGTATCGACGATAGAATTGACTTCGTAAGCGTTATCCTCCCCTCAAGGCTTAAGAATTTACATTTCCAACCAGCAAGTCGTGAAGAGACTTTTTCAAGTACCTCCCCAAAGGTTTCTTTGTTTATTCTCTTCTGTAAGATTGGCATGCCTAAATCTTTTCCCAACTCTAGTCGACTTAATGCCACTCTCATCGCTTATTTGCTTCCCTAGCTCTTGACTTACATTCTCAGAGAAGTATATCTTTAATTTTATAATCTCACTTTCTGCCCCGATGCCGCACAAAACCTCTCTAGTACTTTCCTTATGACACATATTTGATGTACTGATACTTCCGCGAAGAGAAAAAGGTCATCTGCAAAGCAGACATGAGACAGTTTAGGACCTTCACAGGATAAGGTAATAGGCTTCCACTCTTTCGCAGAAATGGAGACCTCAATTTAATGGCAAAATCTCTCCAAACAGATGACGCACAAATATGGAGACAACGAGTGTCCATGTCGTAGACCTCGTTGTGGCGTGAAAGCATCAATTTGGATCTTTCTTTAAAGACTGTCTGGAGAACTTATGTGTTGTTCCGCAGAGATGTGAAGACAAACACCTGGTTCTGAATTGGAGAAGTGCCATTTTATGGTCAAAGATGGCATTGTTCTTGGACATAGAGTCTTTGGAGATGGTATTGAAGTGGACAAGGTGAAAATTGGTGTCATGATAAGCTTGCAAGTGCCTGATTCTGTGAAGTCAGTGAGGAGTTTTTTGGGTCATGTTGGGTTATATGATGTCTCATACACTTACATCATTTAGGCTTGCATTTAGTGCATGTTTTGGTTTTCTTTTGCATGTCTTCCTTATCTTTTGTCCCATTTTCTTTTTCTTTTAGACTTAGGTTGCATTTAGGATGTAGTTTGCATTTTTTTGTATAAAGGATGTTTTTAGGTGCTTATGGAGCTATGAGGAGCAAGGATGAGCTTTGGGAATGAACCAAGAAGCTTGCTGAGCCTGGATGGAGCAAGAGGAACCAAGGCAGACGATTTCTGCAAGCCCTATCGGCCAAGGCACGAAGTCTATCGGTCAAGGAGTGACCGATAGAGAAGCTATCGATCAGGCTATCGGTCAAAGAAGTGACCGATAGAAGTATACCGTGTGTATTCCGGTCAAATGAGTGACCGATAGGATTCCAGACTGAAGACCACTTATTTACAATTTTGTCATTTTCGCTTGGACTCCTTTAAATACGAAAATCCCTAATTTATGGGTACACTCTTTTATCCAGCAGTTCTTTCTTCTCTGTTTTACCTTTTGGATTTTGTGACTTGAATCTTTGCTTGATTTTAATTAAAGTTTGCATTTATCTTCTTGTTTATTCTCCCTAATCATGATTAGTCATCTTTCTCTCTTTGAATTGATGGCTTTAATGGTGCTTAGTGGGTAGTCTTTTTAGGGGTTTGAGATGGGTTAGGTTTAGGGGATTTGAGACTTAATCTATGATGTCATAGTGTTAATTCTTCCATTTCTTTTCTTGATTGCTGTGTTTAATGCTTGATTAGCCTTAGCTAAGTTGATTAAGATTTTAGGCTCATTTTATGCTCACAAAGTGTTTGATGAAATGTCTGAACTGCTTTGCAAGAGAATTGCTTATCCTAGCTCAAGAGATTGACTGTCTAGGGAGTTATTTGGCAATATAGGGTTGATAGAATTGTCTTAATGCTTTCTGTTTATCATATCACTAATGAGAATTAGTTCTTGACTTGGTAATTAGCAAAGAGATAAGTGCCAAGAGATTGGATTAGTCATATAAATGAATCCTATGCATAAGGAATAGCATTGTGTGAGTTTGTAAGCATCGTAGGTTGAGTCAAGAGTTCCCTAACACCAATTATCTCATCTTAAGTCCCATCTTTTCTCTGTTTTTAGTTGGAATTCGAATTTACTCTGTTTTGCCTTTGTTTTAGTTGCTTTGCTTGCTTTTCACTCTTTGTTTGATGTTCTCTTCACTTCTGTTTAATCATTTAGGTTATTAGACATCTAAACTATCTATGCTTGCTTGAATTAAGAGCTCTATTGCACTCTTACTGCTTCATTCTCCTCTTTTGGATTGATAAAACCCTATGTTATACTACAACTGATTAGTACAAGCTTGGGTGATTTAATCAAGTCCTAAAAAATCTTGTATCAATTTGGCGCCGTTGCCAATAGGGGAATGCTTTGTTCAATAGGATTTGTAGAGATCTTGAGATCAAGCTTTGTTATTTTCGTTTTTGGTTACTGATTTCTCTTTTGGTCTAGAATTTCTTTTGTAGGTATCACAACACTTGCTCTTAAGTGTCTACAACCACAACTGGGGTTAAAGATTACTGATTTTGGGTTTGCAGAATCAGAAATCAGCTGTTGAAGCATGGAAGAACATCATTATGCTGCTGGTTTTGGTTTGCAAGGTCCACAAGGTCTTCAAGGAATTCAAGGCTTACAAGGACAGCAAGGTCCACATGGTTTACAAGGAGCTTTGTTTCAAAGACCATTGAGACCTATTGGTGCTGCTGATATACCTTCAAGTTATGCTTCAAGACAAAGTACTTCCATCCATGGAGACTCATCACTATGAGATCAAGAACAGCATGATTACTATGATCCAAGAAAATCAGTTCTTTGGATTGCCCAACCAAGACCCTTTAGAGCACTTGGATCACTTTGATAGGATATGTGCTTTGACAAAGCTTAGTGGAGTTTCAGAAGATGGTTTGAAGCTCAGATGATTTCCATTCTCTCGTGGTGATAGAGCTAAATTATGGGAGAAGTCTTTAGCACAAGGAAACATCACTTCTTGGGAACAATGCAAATGT